GATCATGGACGTAAGAGCGACGTCCATGACCATGCCAATGCAGCGCTCAACAATCCCATTTTGCTGTGGAGAGGCCGGAAGCGTGAATGTGTGGCGGATGCCCTGTGCACGAAAGAAGGCTCGAAGAAGGTCAGAGGAAAACTCACCTCCTCTGTCGGAGTGCAGACGCAGGACAGGATAGTCCGAGCCGAAACTCTCTCTGAACTAGAGACGAGTTGCGCGGATCCACTCGATCAACACCTCAGTGACCTCACGCTTGCTGCGCAAGGGGAAGAGTGTGGTGTAACGCGAGTAGTCGTCAACCACCAGCAGGAAGTAACGCTCGTGACCCTCTCCACAGACGCGGGCTGGACCCCACACGTCCATGTGAAGCGTCTGCAACGGAGCCTCTGTCGGAGGAAACTCGTAGGATTGAGGAGCGGCGCGCTGCCGCCCCTCGAAGCAGGGATCGTGGGTGGGGGCAGGCCCTTGAGGAAGAGAAGGGAGGGACCGGGGGAGACCCAAGACAAGGAAATGAGAGGCCATGCCTCGGAGATGAGGCAAGGAGGGGTGACCAAGGCGGTGGTGCCAGAGGAGAGTCTGGTGAGACAGGAGACGACACGAACAGGGGGCAGACTCAGGACCAGACCTGGACGCTGCAGCAAACACCTGACTCGACGCAGCTACCTGAGGAGACTCAGTAGTCAGTGTGTACAGGCTCGATCCTGGCTGACGGGTAAACGTGGCCAAGTGTCGGCCTGTCCGAGCACATGTACAGCGGGTCACTTGCTGACAATCAGGAGTGAACTGGTCAACCCATCCATCCTGTAGGTCAGCACCACTCACCAAGTTCGTAGAGAAAGAGGGGAGGCAAAGACCTGATAGGGAGCCAGAAGGGGCCGCCGGACACGGTAAGACAGTGGAGAAGTGGGCAAGGACAGGACCCCCAGAGGGGTCTGCCAGGGAGACTGCAACCGGCCGACTGAGCGGCGTGAGTGTGGTGCGGTCTCGAAAGAAGGAGCGGGAAGCACCCGAATCAAGGGTGAAGGTGTGTAAATCCTGAGCCTGCGTAGTACCTGAGAGAGCAGACTCACCAGCACCTGGGGCAGCAGACTCACCAGCACCTGGAGGAGTAGACGCACTAGCACCTAGAGCAGCAGCCTCACCAGCACCTAGAGCAGCAGCCTCAATGCTCGGGTCAGGTGGAACACAAAGGTAACAGTCACCCACATTACTAGTAGGCAATGCATACATGGAAGTGAGGATAGCATCATAGTCAAGAGCATAGATATCGACCCTCTGCCTAAGCATCTCCACCCAGTCGGGGAGCTCAGCGGCGTCGCCAAACTCCGTACGCCAGGCGTCGCTCAGTCGGGCGAAGCAGCGGGACTCTGCGTGACAAAACGTCCCGCAAGGCTGACCAGTCCGAGTACCCGTGCAAATGACATACGGACAGCGAGCAGTACTCGGTGACCCTCCACGCTGAGCGTACCACTCACGAAGATGCTGGGGCGAAAGGACCGCGCGTGGACTACGCTGCAGCTGCACCTGGCCACGACAGGCAGCTCCCAAACTACTCACGCCAGAACGACTCTCACTACGGCCACCCCGACAACCCCAAGTAGCGTACCACTTACGGAGCTGCTGGGGCGTGAGGGACTCACGCGGACGTCGCTGGAGCTGCATCTGGCCACCGCCTGGGGCAGCAGGAGCAATGGTAGCCGCAGTGGCAGCAGTAGCAGCAGTAGCAGTGCGGCCACCCCTACAACCCCAACTAGCGTACCACTCACAAAGCTGATGGGGGGCGAGGGACTCACGCGGACGGCGCTGGAGCTGCATCTGGCCACGCCAGGAGCAGCAGTAGCAGTAGAAAGAGCAGTAGTAGCAAGAGCAGCAGTAACAGCAGTAACAGCAGAGCTCACCAGTGGCAAGAAGGGCAGGAGTAAGACAGTGGCAATGGTGAGGCCGCTACCACCGAAGGGCGAGGGCTACGCGGCTGCTGTAGGGACTGCTGCTCTAGAGGTTAGGGGCGGCTGCTGCAGGGGCGGCTGCTCCAGGGGCCAGGGGCAGCTGCAGCAGCGGCGGCTGCAGCAGTGGGAGACGGAGGAGGAGGAGGAGCAGGGGACAGCTCACACACCCGCCACCCCCATACCCGTCACGCCCATACCCTGAGTGTGCGGTAAGCGAGCTCAGGTGTGCGCGAAGCGTGCACAAGTGTGCGGGAAGCGAACGCGGGTGTGCGGTAAGCGAACTCAGGTGTGCGGGGAGGGGGGCCGCAGGGCGACGCGCGGGTCCACGCGGGCGGCGCACGGGTCGCACGGGGTGGTGCACCGGGATGGCGAGGGCCGCGCGCGGGTCCCTAGGGCGACGCAACGGGATCGCGGGGGGCGCGCCCCCAGGGGCGAGGGTGCCGCGGCGGGCAGGGGCGGCGGCGGCTGACACGGCAGCGGTGGCGGCGGCTGCTGGTGTCGGTGGCGGCGGCGGCGGCTGCTGCTGTCGGCGGCTGCGTCTGCTGCTGTCAGTGGTGGCGGCGGCTGCTGCGACCGGGGTAGGGGCGGCGGCGGCTACTACCATCGGCGGTGGCGGCTGCTGCGGCCGGGGCAGGGGCAGCGCTCGGCTGAGAAGGGGCCGCGGGGCCTCGAGGGGCCGTGTGAGGGGCCGCGAGGGGTCGTGGGAGGGGCCGCGAGGGGCCGAGAGGGAGCCGCGAAGGGGCCGCGAGGGGCCGTGAGAGGGGCCGCGAGGGAGCGGCTAAGGGGCCGCGAGGGGCCGTAAGAGGGCGCGACGGGCCGCTAAGGGCAGGGGACGCGACGGGAGGTCAGGCACACGGGGCGCGACTCGGGCAGGGGCGAAGCGCGCTCCAGGCAGGAAAGAAAATTTTGATTTTTGGTGGGCCCTAGGAAACGTTCCCACTAGGGAACCTGCTCTATACCATGTGAAAGAATGAGGAAATGAATGCACTAGGAAACAGGTGGGTACAAGTAGGAAACCCTAAAAGTGTTGTACCCCATATTGTCTACCCCATTACAATCTACACAGACTATAGCATATAAGTTTGACAGGCAATTCGGTGGCAACCGAAAAGCCAGAATTCGGTGCAAGCAACCTAGCTCGGTGCTATAACTATAATAAAATATAGGAAAGCACCTAGCCTATGAAATCAAGCAATTCATGCATGCATATAATTATCCTATGCTAGAAATAGCATGATAAAGTAAAGGCAAGCAAGCATAGCTTGCATAAGCCGTCGTACTCTCACAGGAGGGGGGAGGGGGAGGAGGGCGACGCCGAGGGGGACGGAGAGGAAACGGGGGCGTGGGATCACGAGGAGAGAGAGAAAACGGTGCGGGGCTGTTTTGGAGAAAGAGGGCGCAGCGCAGCTCATGTAGGGCTGGAGGCGAGTGACACGAGGGCGGGGGGGAGGGGAGATGGCAAGCAACGCGTGGTGGATTGAACAGACAGGGTTATGACGCGCTGCTGAGCAGGGGAGAGCACGGGCACCACACCACTCACGCTAGCCCTGCACTCCAATGCTGTCCCGCCTCGCCTCTCCCGGCACACCTTCCCCCCGGGACAACGCACCCGCGCAACCATGGCTTGCCTCGCGACTCGGCGGCGTCCGGCATGCTGCGCAGCACGTGGAAGCCGAACGCCTCCCACGGCCGTGGCTCGTCGCTATCCGGCCAGTCGCACAGCATGTTGGCGATGAGCAGACACGTCGCGATGGCGTCGTGCTGCTGCGACGTCGTGGCCGTGCGTAGAGCATGGTCAAGGCCGCGCGCAAGTCCGTCGAAGCATGACCTCAACAGGCGAGCATCGCCGGCTGCGCGGACGCCGGGCGGCGCACGGCTCCCGCCAATCTCCGCGGGCTGCCGTTCCTCGGCTCGTATCTCTTCGGCTGTTCGCGGCGATCCGTCCAACTCCATCTCAGCGCACTGACTCGCCGCCATTCTCTGGCGCGGGCGAACTTCGAGATGTGTCGTCACGAATCTGTGAGCGCGTGTGGCGAGCTGGCAAGTGGTAATTGCGGTGGCGGGCATGTAGGGGGGACGACGAATGAAGCACGTTGTGCTGGGTGCGGTAAGATTAAGACACTGTTTGGCAATCGTGTTGTCAAAGGCAATCTCCGTGGTCGCCGAAGGTCAGGAGAGAGAGCACGACCTTCTAAGCTAGCACTGCTCGCAGGTAGCTGGGCAAGGCAACCCTGGGCCATCTAGGAATTACCATGCCTGCCTGCATGGCCCATCCTCCCTTCCTCCCCGCTCCCATGCAGTGGTTGATAAGCAAGCCGCGACCTTGCGCGTCTCGGAGCTCGTGTGGTGGTGAGAAGAGCGAGGAGGACGAGGAGGAGCCAGGACCCATGAAACGCCATGGGTATGAGGGTTAGGCGCATCTCGCTGTTGATGCGCATCACGCAGCGATGGAACATGGCTCGCTGGGCCGCTAATGGCGAGTATCATGGACTGCTACTGCCGCCTGTTTCTGACGCTTCAAATCTGCATCATTTGGATGACGTGTCGAAAAAATGTGCTGTTTGGCTTGTCACACATCAAGTAGTATGTATCTCTATCGATACTGTATACGTTCGCAGTTCACCAGCGATGCTCCTTTATAGAGCGTGCACTGTATTTTCAAGAGCATTCCTCTTTGCATGTCGTATATATTTTCCATACCCAGCCGGGCTCGGCGCGTTGCGTTGTCTTTCGTCAAACTTTTTGTTTGCCACGTCAATCTTACGTACGAACCATTCAGAACCTGACACTCCCGCCGCCAGGTCAGCGAGTCACGCCCTTGCTCTGCTTTCAGCCACGCAGAGTTCCGCTCGCCCTGTGGCTGGGATGCATCCTTACCCCCCCCTCCCCTGCCTGGTCATCCCCTAACCTAACAAGCTTCACCTCGCATTGGGCTAGCTTGCTCCGATCATCCTGGCCGTCAACATCGCAGTGTGCTGCTCTGCGGACGGTGAGATCACGCGCACTGGAATTCGGATTTTATTTGATGTGACCGCCCAGCCCAGGGGGCAGTCACGCACGAGCGGTGAGCAGCACCCACCCCCCTTCGTCCGCATCCCACAGCCCATGGAATCCAGCCACTGCCGTGTGGTGCGGCGGTGGGCACATGGCGTGCAGCTCACAAGGCAAACTGCCAGCCATCTTGCCATACTGTCGGCCTCGCTGCCTAGGTACCGCAACCGCACACAAGGAGCAGACTTGTACCCTTCTCGCAAAGAGCAGCAATCCGCAGTATCAGCGTCTTTCCGCATGTTTCACGCCCCCGTAGTCAAGAGTTGGAGAATGCATTCAGATTCGATCGTCCTATCGCGATGAGGAGCTCTCTATGGATCTTATCCAACCTTCGTTATCTTCCCAGCCCGCGCAAAGGGAGTGCATGCACGCGGTCAGTCCCAAGGACCAGGTGCCGTCTCAGTCGCCCGAATCCGTCGTCAGGGATCGTCGACATCAGAAGCATCGTCGCCAGGTCCTAGGCTCGCGGCATGGCACGCCGGCGCCCATCCGTCCGTCCGTGCTCGAGTCGCGAGCGTCTGGCCCTCCCTCGCTCACCGTTGACCCCGCTTTAGTCACACTCGCAGAAGAAGGGGGGGGCGAAGCTGAAGCGGCGTCGAATTCTTGGGACGGGTTCTCGTTCCCCGCCACGCCGAGCACCTGCGACGGCGATCTTTCGCCCACCTTTTCGCCCAGGGTTTTCTCGCCTGGTAGAAACATTTCGCCTCATGGTTCTTCGCCAGCCTTTTCGCCAAAAACTCCATCGCCGCGGTTACCAACTGGCGCTGCGCATGGAGCTGCTCCCGGCAATGGGCGCGCGATGGAGAGCCAACGGCGCGCGTTTTCCGGGTGTCGACGTGGCGCCGTGCCGCCGACTCGCCTGCAGCGCGACACCGCGCTGGTTGGCTCTCCACGCGGCGACGCGCCAACTTCCTCCAAGGCGCAAGATCCGCCGAATCTCGTCGCGCCGAACGTTCTGAGCGCAATTCGTGCGTCAGCGCACCGCGATTCTTCGCACCCCGAGCGGGCGGCATTCCAACGTACCCCTGAGGCAAGTGCTGTCCATTCCGGCGGTCACGCCGGCGCTCCCGCCAGCCGTGGCCCGCTCGCTCGCGTTCGCCCTGCCGCCTCAACAGCAGCAGGAGGGGGAGCCCAAGGCGTGCAGATGCGCGGGCCACGCCCGCCGTCGCTCATCCTGCCCTCCCAGTGCGCCGCCCACACCTGCCGTGGCACCCCCGCCACCCATGCTGCCGTGAGGGCCGCGCAGGCAGTCAATGACCTTTCTGCCGCGGCTGCTGTTTCGCCCGCCGCGTCTGCTGACGCCGGTGCTTCCTCGCCTTCCTCATTGGCGTCCTCCCCACCCGCTCCTCCCGTTGCTGCTGCCAGCTCGTCCGCACTCCCGCTCGCCTCCACCTGCGCTGAATCCCCGAGGCTTTCACACCCGCGCCCTGCACATACCGCCCCTTCCCCTCCTCCCTCCGCCTCCGCATCTCCGCGCCTGTTCCAGGCGTCCCGTCCGCGCGCGCCCAGCGCGCACTCGTCTCCGCGTCCCTGCATTCCCGAGCCCACTGCGCAGTACGCCTCCCACGACCAGGCGGACCTTCCCCGCGCGGCGAGCTTCCACCATCCGCCCGCCCGCCGCCGCGAGTCTGATGCGCCAATGGCGCAAGAGGCGGCCGACCTTGCCCGCGCGCGCAGCTTCCACCGCCCGCCCTCGCAACTGCAACCAAAGCTCTCCCCCTCCGCCGCCCACCATACCCGCTTGCCCTTCCCCCTTCTGCCCCTCACCTTCCCCCGCTCCCCCACCCATCCCGCGCCCCGTAGCTGCCCACCAGCACGCCTGCTCGCGGAGCAGCCACTGCGGAATTGGGTGAGCGAGGGTGGGTGCAGGGGGCAGGAGGAGTGTGAGGTGATGGGGTGGCGAGGGAAGTGGGTGTCGGAGGTGAGAGGGGACAGGGAGATGAGGGAGGGTGAGGGGGCGGAAGAAGGGCAGGAAGAGTGGGGAACACAGAAAGTGGGGAGAGGGGAGTGGTTGCTGCAAGGACGGAATGTGATCTTGAGAAACAGGCAGCCGCAACGGCGGGCATCTTGTGGCGGCCAATCGGATGCTGCCATGTGGCAGCGTGTCCATGACGGAATTCCTATGGAAGAGGCAGACGTGCCCATGTGGCGCCTGGTGGCTCGCGCCCTGGCGCCGCCCAGCCCCACACCGCACAGTCAGGCGCCTCCCAGCCCCACACCGCACAGTCAGGCGCCTCCCAGCCCCACACCGCACAGTCAGGCACCGCCCAGCGCCGCCTCCGCACAGTTGAAGTGCCACATTGGTCCTGGGGGAGTAGCAGCAACATGCACTTCCAGGGAGCGGGTAGGAGGAGGCACTGTGAAGGGGGAGGGGGTCGATGTTTCAGGCGATGTGAGGGGGTTCAGCAGGGCACAGCCGCCTGAACGCATACATGATCACACTCGATACAGTCACAGCCCGACCCCCTCTCCACGATTGGGGTGTGCCTCTGGGGGGAGCTGTGTGATGCTTCCTCCACCCGTGTGCAACCCCGCTGCAGCACCCACACATACCCTCGTCCAGCCGTGGCAGCAGCAGCAGGAGCAGGAGGGGGAGGAGCAGGAGGAAGGTGAGGATCCAGGGCTCGCCGTTCCACGCAGGGCGTACTCCGCACGCTGCACTGCCACCGCTGCCCCCACCCGCTCGCCCCTCTCCCCTGTCCACCACCGCACACATTCCTCCAGTTTCTCCCACCTCCATCACTCCCCACTTGACAGCCCAACAGCTGGCAGGTGTGGCACAGGGCGGCAGAGGGGAGCAGGCGAGTCCATATGTCTTGCTAGTCCAAGGGCCATCTGCAGTCAAAAGGCCCTCACTGCTCCGCACAGCAGCCCACAGCTCGTCTCCGACCCAAGGGTGCTTCACAGCCCTCGGTCACCCTCACACTCGCGGTCACAGTCAGCCCTGAGCTGCCCCACAGTCTGCCACACAGATCCCAGCAGCTCAGCAGACACAGGGCTGTGAGCAGCACACTGTGGCCTGAGACGGATGCAGGGTTGGGAAGTGGTGGATCAGGGCAATTGTGGACGTTCCTGCTGTCGCGGACACGGCCTGTACCTGCTGCCTGACCGCCACCCAGTGCCTGACTGCCAGCATGCTTGCACTGCTGCCTAGTGCCTTGATGTTGCGGTCGTCTCCTCGTCCCATCCGCCAGTGTGCTTGCACTGCTGCCCAGTGCCTTGATGCTTACTAAAACCGGGTCTCCTCGTCACATCAGCATAGCCATTTATAATTGTGTTTGATATCATCCTCAACGCTATGCAATGCTTTCACAGGAATGATTCTATAGTGGACGAGTAGAGAGTTGGCAATTGGGTTGAGCTATGTATTACCGTATGTGTATATATGGCCAGGTTATGATATTTAAATTGGGTTGTTACGGGTGCAATGAATCCAAGTAGCGAGAATTGCACTAAGGTGTCAAACAAGTACAAAATGTGAGCGAAGGCATGAGCGAACATTTATACGCGTAACATGCAAACGGTACGTAACATGGTGCGTGTGAGCTAGATAGTGCTACGCTGGCAGCGAGGCTCGGGCTAGTCCTGAAGCGTAGGCCGACACGGCCGAGCCAGCAATGCGAGGTTTGGTGAAACAGCGCGCGCGAAGTCGGCGAAGCCCCGTTAGCAGTGTTGGGCTGAAAAAGCCCTAGGATCTTTGCAGGACTAAACTCCAGGTAGGACTGATATAATAGCGGATGGGTTTAATGAAAGGTTGTGAACCACCTTGCACTGGTATGTGAGGGCAAAGTAGATTGATTAAAACAAAGAGATACAAGCCTTTTATAAGAGTACAAGGGAATATGAAGGGTTATAACTAATAATTGTTTTGCTGTTGCTGTTGCGGTTCGATACAGTGACGACTCGGGCAACTGCTCAATAGCGAGTCAGTTGTTTGTCCTTGCTGTCGCGCTGTACTTGTCAGGTCAAAGGTCGATGACCTTTGACTTTCGCGTAACCTCCAGCAGTTGCTCAACCTCCGAGGGTTGACTCGCTGATGCTTCGATATGTTTCGCTTCGCTTCTGACTTGGTGTTTCGACACGACAGAGGCACTTTAGTTAATTGTTTCCAACACTCCCCTTCGCTTCTGGAGTGTCGCTGCTGGTAACGTGGCTCTGTCTAGTTAGCAGCATGCAGAATTCGAACTTCTGCTTTCCGAGCTTCTTGGTCAAGTAATCAGATGCCATCTCGGACGTGGGGCAGTAGGATAATTCGAGTCTCCCCTTCTCGATCTCGTCTTTCACGAAGAAATATCGCAGGGCGATATGCTTCGTCCTGTTCGCGAATCCGTTTTTGTTGTCTATGCGAATTGCCGACTGGTTGTCGCAGAACAGAGTGAAGCTGGGTAACTGAGCCGAGCGTGTAGGTACTGCTGCCACAGTCTTGGGGCCTGTTTGATGCCGTACAGTGACTTCAGGAGCTGACAGATGTGATTAGGTTCTCCGTTGTAACCATGTGGTAGTTCGACGAAGATTTCTGCGTCGACAGGTGCGTAGAGAAATACGTTGGGGACATCAATTTGCCGCATTTTCTTCTTCTTCATGGCGGCGATCGCGAGGAGAATTTGCAGCGAGGTGTGTCGGCTGACCGGGACGAATGTCTCGGTGAAGTCGCGTCCGTGCTCTTGGTCGAAGCCGCGTACGATCCAGCGCGCCTTAAACTTGTCGATGGTGCCATCTGCCTTTGTCTTCACACAGAAGACCCATTTCCCGGTGAGTACTGTCTTGTTTCGTGCCACGCCGATGGAAACGACTTTCCAGGTGTTGCGTTCCTCCAGTGCTTTCAGTTCCCTGTCCATGGCTTCACGCCATTTTTCCCTATGCTCCCCCCCCAGAGCCTGATGAACTGTGGCAGGCTCCTTAGGAACCTCCGTGCCGTGGACCGCGGTGACAAGGCCGAGTATCTGGAGGCCACTCTGTGTGTAGCGGGGGAGTGTTGTGTCCGCGGGATAAGCTGCTTCGTCACCTGCTTCTGGGTAAGGTATGAAGTGGGGCCCTATGCGTTCTCCTTCGTTGGTGTTGACTTTTGCAGGTGTAACGTAACCGTTGTCAGCGAAGTGGTAAAATACTTCGGCGTTGATGCTTTTGCGAGATTTTCGTCATCCATTGGGACGTCGACGGAGCAGTAAGGGAGAGGTCCGGCTTCCTCCGAGGCTGCATCCACGTTCTGCTCGTCCCAGTCAGCTTCGTTTGCTGCCAAGGCGAAGGCTCGGTCACCACGGAAACCACCTGTGGGGTCCTGATCTTCTTCCAGGTTGGCAAGGTACGTCGGAAGGGTGATTCGATCGTAAAAAATGACATCATATGTTGCTACTGTTTCCTTGGAGTGGCCGTCGAAAATTTTCCACGCATTGTAATGTCTTTCGATGCCCAGGTGTAGTCCCCACTGTGCGCATTGGGAAAATCGGCCGGCTCGTGCAGATGGGGGTCGGTACTGTACCATGTAGCAAAAAATTCTTAACATTTTTGTGCTGCCCTGTTTTCCTGTCCACAGCAGATGTGGTGATGCGTTTTTCGGGAGCGATGATGACGAGAGCAAGTTGTGCAGCATGACAGCGTGGTCCATTGCTTCGGGCCACTGGTGGTTGGGCAGTCGCATGCCTTGTAGAAGTTTGCGCATGGTGTTCTGGAGAATCCTGTTCATCCTTTGTGCTACGCCTTGCTGCTGGTGAGCGTAGGAAAGGGAGATGAGATTGATCCCTCTTTCTGCCAAGTACTGCTTGAACCTCTGTGAGGTGTATTCTCCTCCTCCGTCAGACTGGAAGCTTTTTAGCTTCACGCTTGATTCTCGTTCTGCTACTGGGAGCCAAGCGACGAAGGCCTCGAAGGCCATGTCCTTTCTCGGTAGGTTGAGGTGCCAAACGTAACGCGTGGCGGCATCGATGAACGTGATGGTGTAGCTGTATGCTCCTTGTCCGGGTTCGCGGTTGTACAGGATCTCGCTGTACACTTTCTCGAGTGATGCGTAAGCTGGTGCGCTGGGATTGTGGTGAGAAGCGAACGACAGATGTGGTAAGTCAGCTTCGGGGCAGGTAAAGCACGTTCCGCGAGCTCGTCGAAGTTCGCTTCCGTCGGTTTGGAGCAGTGAATCTTTATCGAGCACGCCTGCTCTGATTGTGTTGTTTAACACCGTGTTGCTTGGATGTCCCATTCGTGCGTGCTAGATGTCTTGGGTGAGCGCCGATATATGTCAGAGTTGGAGTAAAAGCTGGCGGTGAAGTTGGCGCTTTGATGGACTTTCCGTTGAGTTGGGTTCAGTTGCTGCGCAAGAGTTGGTGAAGTGTCGTCGTCGATTGGAGCCGGTGCAGTTGAAGGACCCGTGATTGGTGCCAATGTTGTTTCTGCTGCTGCTGGTGTTGTCTCTGCTGCTGTCGATTGTTGAATCGTTGCTAATGCTCTTTTTCGTTCTGCCTCAGGAATGGTGTGCGAGTACCAGAAGCCGTCGGGACTGAAGTTCGGGTCGAGATCCGTTGGATTTGTCCAGGAGGTGAAGGTGA